AAAAATTTAAAAAAAAATACACCTTTGTATATTAAAACAAAAATTTAAGAATTTTATTGTAATTACCTGAATATTAAAATATAAGTTAAACAAAATAACTATTCTTAGTTCTTATTTAATAACTTAGGTTCATAAGTCACATTTGTCTCAATACTATGATATTGACATTTTTCTGAAAAAAATCTTTTTTCAATTATTTTTAATTTTCCAATTTTGTTCTTATTTTTGATTTCTCATAAAATTGCCCATAATCTTCTTCAAAGTCAATTTTTATGGTTAATCAACTTGAAATCATCAATACCTTCAAGTGACTCTTCTCTGCAGATATGTTTTAATTGAGAAAATATCCTCTCTACAGGTAAATATGTGAAAATATTTTAGCCTAAATATTTTCACAAGTTCTATTCTTCTGCCTCCAAAGTATATTTGTTTAATAAATATTTTAAGACAAATTTCATCAAATAAGTTGTCTCTATTTTTTTATTTTATTTTTTTTTTTAAGACTTTATTTATTTATTTATTTTCCCCCCAAAGCCCCAGTAGATAGTTGTATGTCATAGGTGCACATCCTTCTAGTTGCTGTACGTGGGACGCAGCCTCAGCATGGCTGGAGAAGCGGTGCGTCGGTGCGCACCCAGGATCCGAACCTGGGCCGCCAGCAGCGGAGCGCGTGCACTTAACCACTAAGCCACAGGGCCGGCCCTATTTTTTTTATTTTAAATATTTTGCCAAATATAAATGCTACAAAATTGTAAGCCTTCTTAATTTCATTCAATTTCAGTCAGAATATAAATTTATCCAATGAAAACAAGAGTTTCATCAAGATGAGATTCTTTTCACAAGTGAAGATACTCCAAACCACAATTCTAGAATTTCAGAAGGAAAACTAGCACACCATTTGAACAGTCCTCACTTAACGTGTTCAACTCCTCCTAGTTTTTGCAGGAATAAACTTCAAGGTCTTTGTTTACAAGCTTTGTTATAATAATTACAATTTGCTAAACCTTCAAAAGCTGGAATTTGTTTTTTCTTTAAGCATTCCATTCATTGATACCTTAAATAATGGCTTTCCACAGATTTTAAACAAATTGCAATCAACACTTGGAGGGCTCATTTATTAAAAAGTGGTCAATACCACTGAAGAACTTGGGTTGTTTTACAAAATAGTTCTTCAAAGGCTCAAACATTTATAAAATCTGACTGAAGAAGGACAGCAAAGAAAGTACTCCTGCCATGTCAAAGTAGTATTTTTTCAGCATTAGCTTCGTCTCAAAAATTTTATGGTCATTACTTAGTGTATATGTAAATATAAAAATCTATATACTTTGACAATTACTTCTTTTTTTTTTTTTTTTTTGGTGAGGAAGATTGGCCCTGAGCTAACATCTGTGCCCATCTTCTTCTATTTTGTATGCGGGACGCTGCCATGGCATGGCTTGATGAGCAGTGCAGAGGTCCACGCCCGGGATCCAAACCTACGAACCCCAGGCCTCCAAAGTGGAGGGCGCGAACTTAACCACTATGCCACTAGGCCGGCCCTACCACTTCTACCTTAATTGGTAAAACAACACAGCGTGTTTGGACACAATTATGAATTACATGTATATCTTTTTTTTTTTTTTTTTTAGATTTTATTTTTTATTTATTTTTTCCCTCCAAAGCCCCAGTAGATAGTTGTATGTCATAGCTGCACATCCCTCTAGTTGCTGCATGTGGGACTCGGCCTCAGGATGGACGGAGAAGTGGTGCCTCAGTGCGCGCCCGGGATCCGAACCCGGGCCACCAGCATCAGAGCGCGCGCGCTTAACCACCAAGCCACGGGGCCGGCCCCTTACATGTATATCTTAATCAATTACAAATTCATTTCTGCTCCATAGATTTCTTGATTCAGTAAGGACATTGTTTTTCTCAAAATTTGTATGCGTATATGTATGGTGGTGGGTGGAAACAAGACTTTTGATGGTGAACACAATGCAGTCTATACAGAAGCTGAAATATAATGATGTACAGCTGAAATTTACATAATGTTATGAACCAACATGACCTCAATAAAAAAAATCTGTATGTGTATTATCACCACAAAACAAATATTTTGTCTTTAATTTTGAACTTTAAATAAATTTATACAAGCATTCACAACAGTGACAAATGTTTTCCTTCAACAGAATGAACTTACAAAAGTTTTACTTTGAGCCCATCAATAGAAAAACAAGAAGATGTGGAATCAAAAATGAGCAAAATTAGTTTAGAATCTATGATAGAAAAGTAGTTGCCTCTGGGGGAAGGAGTAGGGATTAACTGGGACAGCGTATGAAGGAACTTGCTGGGATAATGGTAATGTTCTATATTCTAACAGAAGCCTCGGTTACACAGGTATATGTATTTAGCAAACGTACACCTAAGATTTGTGCATTTCATTGAATGTTAATTTTATAAAAAATACATATAAGCAAATACAAAAAGGACTCTAGTTAATGACATACTTCTAGTTATGTATATATTTTTATATATAGTTAGTGATATATATTTAGGGGGATGTGTACTAATGCTTGAAATTTACTTTGAAATGCATCCAAAAAATAATATGTTTTAATGAATGGCTAGAAGGATGGACAGATGGACAGACATGTGGTAAAGTCAGTTTACAAAAATGTTAATGGTATAATCTAGGTGATGGGTGTAAGAATGTTCACAGGAAAATTCCTTCAACTTTGCTGTATGTATAAAAATTTTCATATTAAATATCAGGAAAATTTCATTTAGAACAATTATTTAGTCTAAATGAAAAGTTAAATATCCCAGAATGATATATAAATGTACCCTCTGCAGCTGCACATGTCGAATTGTTGTCTTTAGACATAGTCTTCTTAAAACAACTGCTAACTTACACAATTGATGCTCAGGCTCTGTCAGCATGTTTCTGTGTTCTAGTTTTCAGATGGTCAGTGATATGTCTACGGCCCTTATACATGGTACACGATGACCTTTTGTGCAAGTTACGTATCATCATTGACTGTCGTGAGAAATGGAAATTCAATACTCTTTCATTAAACATGTACTTCT